TTAGAATACTTGTTCATTTTTGCCTTTGCCATACAATGTGTAAATTTATGATCGCAAGGCTGTGCCTTAATGACAAAAATTTTCAATCTGCATTTGTTGTGTTGTACCCCTTTTTCTTGAAGAGCTCAACCAGACTAGGTCAAGCAAGCCTCAGCCAAACTGAGCATTACAAGTCTTAGCCAGACTGAGCCTGAAGAGCTTAGCCAGACTGAGTCAAGCAAGTCTTAGCCAAACTGAGTCAAGCAAGTCTCAGCCAGATTGGGTCAAGCAAGCCTCAGCCAGACTGAGCATTACAAGTCTCAGCCAGACTGAGCCTGAAGAGCTCAACCAGACTAAGTCAAGCAAGTCTCAGCCAAATTGAGCCTGAAGAGCTTAGCCAGACTGAGTCAAGCAAGCCTCAGCCAGACTGAGCACTACAAGTCTCAGCCAGACTGAGCCTAAAGAGCTCAGTCATACTAAGTCAAGCAAGCCTCAGCCAGACTAAGCATTACAAGTCTCAGCCAAATTGGGCCTGAAGGGCTCAGCCAGACTAAGTCAAGCAAGTCTCAGCTAGACTAAGTCACGCAAGCCTCAGCCAGACTAAGCATTACATGTCTCAACCAGACTAAGCCTAAAGAGCTCAGCCAGACTGAGTCAAGCAAGCCTCAGCCAAACTGAGCATCACAAGTCTCAGCTAGACTAAGCCTGAAAAGCTCAACTTGACTAAGCCTGAAGAGCTCAGCCAAACTGAGTCAAGCGAATCTCAGCCAAGCTGAACATCATAAGTCTCTGCCAGACTGAGCCTAAAGAGCTCAACTAGACTGAGCCTAAAGAGCTCAGCCAGGCTGAGTCAAGCACGCCTCACTCTAGTTCACGCATGTTGTATATATACAATAATAATCACATGTTTATTCGCAAATCCAATTTTTATATAGGCACATCTTTCCATCACATGCTCGTTCTCATTCACCACAAGGTTCTTTCTTCATCCTTATTTTTCATTCTTTCTACTCATCTTCTTTCCCAAACAATATATATATATATATAATAAAATAAAATATAAACTTGCCTTTGTAGTTTCAAAACAAATAAACCAAGCCACCACACAAAATTTGAATTCAAACATTAGACAAACAATCATTGTAGTTTCGACACAAATTCTTTACAAAGATCTATTTCAACACAAAGAACCATTTCAGTTCACAAAAAGAAAAACAAAACACCCAAGCCCAAGGTCCGATCTTCAATCAGCCACATCTCCACCTCCCTCATCCTCGCTAGACACCAGATCCTCTTCTTTAACCTCCTCATCCAGTGGGGTCTGGGCAACGTCCCCCTCTCCTGGCCGCACACCGCTAAAGTCCATGCCTAGGAACAGCTCCTCCACCCTGTATTTGAAGGTCGTCCAGCCACTGTCCTAGTATATGCTCATCTCATGCTTGTAATAATCTGACTGCTGAAAATCTGGATTATCTCTTCTGTGGTCTGACCCCCCACTAGCTTAGCAGCAGCCACGTTTGACGGCCCACCCCCATCTCCCTCTTCTCTAGCCAAGCTCTTCGCCACAGCTGCATCAACAGCCATTTGGAACTCAAGAGACAGCTTAAACTGTTCCACCGCTACGGTGCACAGATCTGGATAGACAACCCTTTCAGACACCATCATCCTGGTTAACTCCACTATCTTGGCCTTTTCTTCTCCTAAGGCCTTCTCCAACTCTGCAAGTCACGCATCTACCTCCTCCTTATCCTTCAAGGCCAAATCACGCAACTCCTCGTTATTCACCAGGGCCTCCTCTAACCTCTCGTTGGTTATGGCATAGGCTTGCTACGCTTCATCGGTCCTCTTCTGCTCACTCGCCAATTCAAACTCTAACGACACCGCCTTACGATGTATGGCTTCAAGCTCTGCCTTAATGACTAACAATTCAGCAGTGACCTCAGCTTGGCCCATTCTGGCACGCTCAGCCAGATAACCCTACACCACTGCCAACACCTCCATCTTTTTCGCTCTCTAAGCATATGCTAAGCCGTTTGCACATGTGTTTCGTGCCGCTTTCCTCCAACCCGCCGTTTCCACCCTCACATTCTGTAATTGCGACCGCGCTTCCTCCAGTTGGGCCTTAAGCGGTTCTGCCTCTGCCCTCATCTCTACCCTTTTGCCTAATAAAACGACAGTTAGGGTTAACACCGAACAAAACCCTCTCATGAGGTTTGTCTCTGTACATTGAGATGTCCCTCGCACAGTCGGGTCCTCTATAACCCCCAGCAGGCAATTTGTTGTCGCTCTAGCTTCGCCCCCATTACCCACCAAGTGACTAACCAACATGCGCAAGTGATGTGTGGCGGTCCCCAACGACCCCAGTGTAGCGCTCGTCTCCGCTCCGCTCGCCCGCTCTCTCCCCAACTTCTGACTTGGGGGCACGTCCCTTGCCGGCACGTCTTTGGGAAGCAGGTCTATCGATTGGTCGACCTTTGGCAACCCTATTTACTCATCTACTATGCCTATCACTTAGACAACTGGGGGCTCAGTCAAACCTCCCTCTACCTCCACACCAACCCTGGTCTCTTCTTCCTCTACTCCTGGGGGCACTTCTACTGCCCCATATTTGGTCTTCTTCAGCAATAGTCCTTCTTCATTTCCCTCTGACACCACCTTCCGCTTCTTCTTCTTCTTCTTCAGCACCAACTCTATCTCCTTCCTACTTCTCTCCCTCAATGGATCCACCGACGCTCGTAGACGCACAAATGTTGTTAAGTCTTTTTCTTCCAAGGGTTTGGGTCGTGGTCAAAACGACCTCTTTGCCACCAGCTTCTGCGCTGGGCCTAACTGCTTCTCCTTGTATTTGTCAACCCTGGCAAATGCTTGCGCGTCCTCTGCCTCTTGTGCCTTCCTCATTGCCTTCACCTCCTTTGGAGCAGGATCTCCCTCAGTTGGCTTAGGCCCCAGCTTTAGGGCAAACAAGGCTAAGGGTTGGACCAAGTTATCCCATTTTAGCCCCTCTTTCTCCCTCCACTCCTTTACTTGCTTGACCCTTCTCTCTGTTGCAGCATCCAACCTTGGCTCTAATAACTTGGTTGGCACTTTTCAAGTGGTACAAACTCCCCTCCCGCCATCTGCCGACACAAAAAACCATTTTGGCCTCCACCCCTTCACTAAAGAGGGCAACCCTGCCACTAGTCCCCTCCTCGCTATCGCTTGCAGTGTCACCCAAGTCTCTTGTTGCCCCGAGGCCATGTAGCACGAAAAAAACTCATCCACCGTCATCGCCTCTCCTCCGGTTGCCCGCGGCCATGTGATCGCACAAGCAAATAGGATTTTCCACGCATTTGGCATTAATTTCCTTGGCACCACTTCTAGGCAGTTCAATACCTCGATCACCAGTAAATGCAGTGGCAACCTTAGGCCCTCACGCAATGCCTCCTCATACAACGCAAGCTTCATAGGCTGCACATCAGACGCTTTCTCTCTCGCTATGGGCACTCTCAACTGTATATCCACTGGAATCTGACATCTAATACACAGCTCCTTCAGATCCTCTGTCGTTAGCATGGATTTGTCAGCTTTGGTATGCTAATGGTCAGGCGCCACTTGGCTAATCGGCTGGACCGCTGAGATCATCGTCATTGGAAAGGGTGCACTGGCCGCTCTATGACCTTTTCTCCCAGCCTCTCCACTCTGTATTGTTGCGCCAGTGCCACTCCGTCATCGTCTCCTAACGCATCTGATGTCATGGCCAGCGCTTTATCTTGTGCTATCTCCTTCATGTTTCTGTATATCACCTTGGTTGCGAGAGCAAGCAAATCTGCGATGTAAAACAGGAGAAAGCCCACCGAGATGTAGGAGCTCAAGTCTAGAATGTGTTGATTTTTTGCAATAAGGCAAGTAAATCACACCAGTCCGAATGCCCAAGGTTTGCCTATGTGTCAAGGATCATGGTTAAAATTTGCCAGTTTGAAAATTCCACCAAGTTAAAACCCCCACCTCTCCCACATCACCCCTTATACAAACCCTTCACTTCCTACTACCACTTCACATCCCTCACCCATGGCCCCGATTGCCCCACGTGTATAACCTAGATCCCTCCTTCATCGCACTCCTTCTCTTTCCTCCCCCCCGTCTATTTCACTTCATATCATCACGTGCTTTCCTGTACCTCGAGCCTCACGCACCATAAATACCTCCGACCTCAATCAGCCACCTCCCTCAACGATAGGTCACCACGACGGTCAGTTACCTTATCGATCGGCCACCTCCTTCAATGGTCGATCAACACGTCAGTCGGCAACCACCTCTCAACGGTCGGTCACCGCGTCGGTCGGCCACCTTCCTCAATGGTCGGTCATCACATCAATCGGCGACCACGTCGGTCGGCCACCTCCCTCAACTATCAGTCACTACGTCGGTTGGTAACTGCATCGGTTGGCCGCGTCCCTCACCGGTCCACGGTCAGTCACCACGTCGATCGGCCACGATCCCACTTTGACGATCGGTCACATCCTTAGTCGTCCATCACCTCTCCCCTCCTTTCCCTTTGCCCCTCTCTTTGGCGCCTTGGGAGACCATTATTTTCTCTCTTATTTCCTTCATTGGACTAAAGCTGCACTTGGGAATGGGAAACTACTGATACAGATGGACACCCAAGGCGGCCCAGCCCACGACTGAAGGCCCAGCTCACGGCCCAAGTGTTAAAGCCCAGTCAGCCCAATAACTCTAAGAAGCCAATGCTGGCCCAAGACCAATAGCATTCAAACACTTGTCAGGTAGGAAATCAACCACATAAGTCGACAAAGATCCTACAAAGTTATTGCACCCACACATCAGCCATTTAATGAGGCCACTGTAGCATTAAATACAGCAAGACCCCTCACGTCGGAATATACAAAATCACCATGAATGATGTTAACTAGGCCATAGACTTTCGACTAACAAGACAGCTTAGAATGGACAAAGTGTAACGCCCCAAATTTCTAGCCCAAATGATAATACAACAATCATGGCTCTTCAAGGAAAATCGAATATAAATCTCCAAACTTACATTACATGATACAATAGTTCTTCATGCAACAATACATTAATCCAACAAGTAAATAAACAAATAAATACCCCCAAGAGTTTAGAAGTTTCTAAGGCTTGAGTCTGGTTACACAAAACGATTATTTAAACTCACACACATACAGCCCTTGGCTTACACGCAAAGTCACAGCAAAATGAGAGTCTCGTACTCTCAACGCACATTTCCTCGCCTGTAGTTAAATGGCATCACCACATCTTTTCCTGCACAAAAATTTCGTAAGGTAAGCATAAAGCCCAATAGGAAATCCTTAACAAAGTATATATATTTTATACAAGTCTCAAGAGATGAAACACACATGTCATGCTATGCCCTTTTGAAAGAAAATCACATCTTCATCTTTGAAAACCATCATGCTCAATTATGTCATGCAATTTCAATTCTTCAAACCTTAACAATTCATTTCAAGAGCGGTAAATACGACTCTGGTAATCCCTAGGTCGATGTGTGCAAGTAGATTATACAAGTACAACCAATTTGTCATTTTCACCGATATTAACTAGAAGGCTCGACACCTATCTACGCGGATTTTCGATCTTTCACCCCGGACTCTCAGGCCAACTTATTCAATATCATCTACACCACCTATCAAGACTTACCAACGTATTTACCCCAAAACCATTCCATGAAAACTTGTTTCTCAACATTGTTTTCTCAATCTAAGTTTTCAAATCAACTTTCAAAATTTAATATAATCAAATGAATTGATATGCCAATAATACAAGATAAATATAAATACTTTTATTCCAATTCATTATCCAAGGAATAACACAATTCTCTCTTCTCAAGTATCCTCAACAATTAGTCATTTCGAGACTATTTCAACGTTTTGAACAATAATTTCCAAAATGAACAACAATTCTCATATTCTCTAAAATTCATCATTTATATAAATATAAATAAGAAATTTTCCAAACATCCATATATTTTGACACAATAAATATAACAATATCATTCATTGATTTTCAATCTCTTTTAAAAAAATTCCCAAATTCTAGATTTTCTCACCAAAACTATACAACTCAAATCTTTTAAAAGAAAACTTTCAAAAATCATCTTTTCTTCAATCAACGAATATCAAAACCCATAAGATCATTTTAAAATAATAAGAGACAAACCCACTTTCAAAATCGCTCAACTTCTTGAATCAACAATCAATTTTTAAAGCTATCGAAAGATGATTTCGAAAATCATCTAGATCTTGCAAATATATATATATATATATATATAACTCTAAGAAAATCTCTACCTCAAGTTTTGAATAAGAAATGAGACGAAACCCCCAAAATCAACGGTGTCGAAACTCGATCTTCACCACACACAACGAAACCCTCGAGAAGTTAACCAACTTTGATGAAGAACCTATGGCAGAACTCTAATGGATCTTGAGAAATCAAGGTTTTGATCCAATTTGGCGTAGGGAAATGTAGAGAAAAGGGAGAGGAACGGGTTTTTAGAGAGAGAGAGAGACCTAACAAGAGTGAGATACACTCAGCCTAAAGAGAAGAAAAAACCAAAATTTTGGACTCACCTACCACCGCACGTGCGGCGCTTCTCCTGCACTTGCACTCCTGCACCTGCATTTATTGTAGTAGCCAAACAAGCCCTCCACTTTTTTCCGCACGTGCAGCTCAAGGAACTTCGAATGCATTTTGCATTTTTGCTTCAGCGAGCTGACAGAGCAGCTCGACCCCCGTAAGCTGATCGGGTCAAAATCAAGATCGCTACAACCTTCCCCCTTTAAAGAATTTCGTCCCCGAAATTTCAAATCAAACTACCCAAACAAATGGGGTTTCTAGCGATCAAAACCATGCTATTTCATTTTAAAATCACAATATCAACTCTCAAACAATTTTTTTTTTTTTCACAATATTAACTCTCAACAATTTTTTTTTTTTTGCCATTTCCACCATGGTTATCTCATTAATAACAACCGTCCACATTAACCTAAACATGAAGCAAAGAAATAACAATATGTAACTACTTCATGCTTAACATAACAACATACATAACATGTGGTCAACAATTTTAACACATTTCCCTTAAACACTATGGAATATTATAAGGAAAAACAACTTAAGCATTTTCAAACAAATCCGGATACTTAGAGCGAACTTCCGCCTCCTGTTCCCACGTCGCTTCTTCAACCCCATGGTGTCTCCACAACACCTTTATCAACGATATAGTTTTGCCCCGTAGCACTGGCTCCCGGGTATCTAATATTTGAATCGGTCGTTCTTCATAAGAGGCATCCTCATCTACCTCAAAGTCAACCCAATCAAGCACATGAAAAGGGTCGGATTCATACTTCCAAAGCATAGCTACATGAAATATGTTGTGAACTCCCGAATGTTGTGGCAGTAAAGCTAACCGGTATGCCACTTTCCCAATTTGCTCTAAGATCTCAAAAGGCCCAATGAACCTTGGAGATAATTTGCCACTCTTACTAAATCTCATCAAACCCTGCCTTGGTAAGACTTTTAGAAACACATGGTCACCAACTTCAAAAGATAAAAGTCATCTCCTCTTATTGGCATAACTCTTTTGTTGACTTTGAGCCGTAGCTAACCTCTTCCGAATGAGAACAACTTTCTCGATTGTCTCTCTAACAATTTCCGAACCCAATAACGGTGCATCACCCACTTCGACCCAACAAATCGGTGATCTACAAGGTCGGCCATACAAGGCCTCAAATGGTGCCATCCCAATACTAGCTTGGTAACTATTGTTGTAAGCAAACTCAATCAATGGTAAGTGTCTTTCCCAAGGCCCCTTAAAATCAAGGACACAAGCTCTAAGCATGTCTTCCAAAATCTGAATAGTATGTTCCGACTGTCCATCGATTTGAGGATGATAAGCGGTGCTAAGAGTCAACTTAGTTTCCAACGCCTCTTGAAGGCTTTGCCATAGCCGGGCAGTAAAACGATGATCTCTATCCGACACAATAGTCACAAGGACTCCATGAAGTCTAACTATCTCTCTAATGTACAACTCTGTCAAGCGTTCAACTGAGTCGCTAATGCACATCGGAATGAAATGGATAGACTTAGTCAACCTATCAACAATCACCCAAACGACGTCATTGTCTCGTTGTGTTCTAGGAAGCCCAACTACAAAATCCATGGTAACACGCTCTCATTTCCACTCGGCTATCGGTAAGGGTTGTAACAAACCCGCTGGTCTTTGGTATTCGGCCTTCACTTGTTGACAAGTAAGGAACTTCATTACAAATAAAGTGACATCCCGTTTCATACCCCTCCACCAAAATTGACGACTAAGATCATGATACATTTTAGTGCCTCCAGGGTGTACCGCAAAGCGTGAGTGATGGAACTCCTCGAAGTACTTCCTCTCTACAAGATTCCGGTACAAACAAACGGTCTAGGTAACGTACACTTAGATCCGAGTGAACGTTCAAACCTTTCTCTTCCTTCCCATTGAAAATCTTAACACGGATTGATTCCACATCACGGTCTCCTCGTTGTGCCTCTATGACCTTCCTAACCAAGGTAAGTTGAGCATTCAAAATAAACAAGGTAGCACTCTCTCCGGACTCACCCAAGTGCAAATCAAACTTGCAAATAACATCTAGCATATCCCATTCCCGAATGACCACACTTGCCAAACTACTCGCAGATTTTCAACTCAAAGCATCGGCCACCACATTGGCCTTCCCTGGATGATAGTGTAACTCAAAGTCATAATCCCCCATAAATTCCATCCACCTCTGTTGTCGTAAATTCAAGTCTTTTTGAGAAAACAAATACTTTAGACTCATATGATCAGAGAAGACTTCAAACTTCTCACCTTACAAGTAATGTCTCCAAATTTTCAAAGAAAAAATCACCGCTGCTAATTCTAGATCATGGGTGGGGTAATTTTTCTTATGAGTTTTCAATTGTCGTGAATCGTAGGCCACAACTTTTCCCTCTTGCATCAAGACACAACTAAATCCATCCCCGGACGCGTCACAATAGACAGTGTAATTCAAACCCCTTTCCGGAATTATCAAAACCGGTGCGGTAGTCAATCTAGTCTTAAACTCTTTGAATGACTTTTCACAAGTCTTACTCCACACAAATTTGATACCCTTTTTAGTCAACCTAGTCAAAGGTGCAGCTAGTCTAAAGAAGTCTCTTACAAAACATCGATAATATCCCGCTAATCCCAAGAAACTCCAGATTTCAAAAACATTCTTGGGTGATTCCCAATCCTGTACGGCATCTATCTTTGAAGAGTCCACAGTCACTCCCTCTCTAGACACTACATGCCCCAAAAACTTCACCTCTGTTAACCAAAACTCGCATTTTTCAAATTTGGCATACAATTGGTGCTCACTAAGTAAACCGAGCACTACCCTCAAGTGAGTCTCATGTTCCTCTTCAAAGGTTGAATAAATCAAGATGTCGTCCACAAAGACGACCACAAAACGGTCCAAGTATTCTCGAAAAATTTTGTTCATCAAATCTATAAAGGAAGCCAGTGCATTGGTCAACCCAAAAGGCATTGTAAGGAATTCATAGTGGCCATAAAGAGTACAAAAGGCCGTCTTCTGAATGTCCTCCTCCCGGACACTCAACTAATGGTACCCCGACCTCAAATCTATTTTTGAGAAGCAACGAGACCCTCTAAATTGGTCAAACAAATCATCTATTCTGGGTAGAGGATAATTGTTCTTAACTGTAACTCTATTCAACTTACAGTAATCAATACACAACCACAATAACCCATTATTCTTCTTTGCAAAGAGAGTCAGCGCTCCCCAAGGCGATGTACTAGGGCGAATGAAACCCTTGTCTAAAAGTTCTTGGAGTTGAATCTTCAACTCATGCAATTCGGCAGGTGCAAATCTATACGGTGACATGGAAATCGATGCCGTGCCAGGCACTAATTCAATGGAGAACTCGATCTCCCAATGAGGTGGTAAACTAGTAAGATCTTCTGGAAAGACATCCGGGTATTCACAAACTACCCTTGGTAACTCAACACAAGCCCCGTCACTCTCACTATCCAAGAGGGTTGCAAGAAGGCCACTAAGCTTGCTCCTACTACGAGGGTCAACAACTAGTGACAAGGCTCTATCAACTCGGTTCCCCAGAAAATAGAAACGATCACCACCCGAAGTGCACACCGTAACTCTCTGACGGTAACAATCAATCACAGCTTGATAAGAACACCACCAGTCCATGCCTAAAATGACATCAAATGCCCCCCATTCGAGGTGGCGCCTTGCACCAATTACTAAAGACATTTTCTTTGAAACATCCCTTGGAATAGTTGAACCCTCACCCATCAGTGTCTATCATATAATTCAATTCACCCACAAACAATTGCGTTACAAGCATTACAAAAAGAACCATGACTAATGCAATTATAAGTTTCCAAAATAGCAATTAGCAAACTATAAGTAAAACATAAAGCAAGCAGTGTACCTGAATTAGATGCCATATCTTCTGCATGCTAACTGATTTCCCACTAGAAGCATCAAGGCCCAAACTCTCATAAGCACCCTCGAAAACTGTAGTAGGCTAATGAGACGAGAAAAATAGTAAATTGATCACAAATCCAGATCATTTTAGTAATTGACTTAATTGGTTGACGCAATCACGACCAAAATATAGTACACAACTTCAACAGAGTGACTTCCACACCAAAACTTCAAAAGGAAGAAAAGAAGAGTGAGAAGAGTACATGAAACATCAACATGCATCTAAAACATTAATAAGTAGCTAGCAACACTTCTAACTCTCACCAAATTACAAACCATTAATCTGTTGATACCATAGATTTCTAGCATTTAGTTAAATCAAAATAAAACATTTTTTGATTTGGCTGGTCTTAGCTTTCTCTTTGTTTTATTTTGCAAGGCTGTTTTTGCTGACTTCAGATATTAAGCTTAAGAAACCAGGATAACAAAAAATAGATAATTCAAAGGAAAATATAAATAAATTTCTAGTTCAAAGAATCAAAATCACCCTTCACATGTTGGATGTAGAAATAAACAGAAGCCCTTGAAGTAATTTATTCTGTAGGGTCCTTCACTATTTTGCTATATGTTTACCATGTTGGATGTACTTTTCTAAACTATTATTGTCTGAAGGGTAATTATATTCGTTTTTCATCCCTGACATTCTAAACACATTTCTATATAAGAATGTTAGCAAAATTAAATGTGTCAAAATGTCATGTTTATCACAACAACAACAAAAAATGCAGCTAAGGAAATAAAAGTATCAAGCTGTTAATAAAACCTTATGTTCAAATATAAACCAAATCTACATGTTCATATTTATGGCCACGTATTTTCATCTAACTGATAATGGTGTGAGTTCAGCACAATATTGGCACCTATAAATGGTTACCTCATAGGATGGGGTATATACCTAAAAGAAAAGAATCCACACAGACCAGGAAGAGGGACAGAAAAGCAAATCCAACAAATATGCCAAAATGAAAATGGGGGAAAAAAAGAAAAAGTAAAATAACAATAACAGATAATGAAATTGAAAGTGACTTAACTAAAGAATTGCATTTGAACTCTGATTATGACCTAATTTAGTTGCCATTAATAGAAAAGGCTATATACTTAATAATTTAGATCTCAGGGAAAACATAGTGAATTAAAATCATGCCAGTTTGATCTTGGCAGACATGTATATTTTAGGTTGAGCTTGACTTGAATTCGGCTCAACTTTACCCAACCCAATTTGCACTCTTATAAAATTGGCAAATTTAGTCCAGTTTTGTATAACAACTGTAAAATCTCTAAAGAGATTAGCATGTTCCATTCCATTAGTAATTTGAACAGTAAAACTTCTAGTTTGAAATTTTAAGATATTTGCCGATTATTTTGTAGGTTTTAACTTACAGTTGAATATCTTCTTTGGTATCTTCCCGTTGTTGAGTGAATAAAGAAAGGTCTTCACAGTATCAGCACTATATCGAGCAGTATACTGAGATGCACACCTAATCACTTATTAGCACACCATCAAAAGTGGTAAGAAACCAACCGAAAACAAAAACAAACTAGAACAGAACAAAACAAACACCAAAACGAATTACAACAAAACAAACAACAAAGCACCAAAACCAACTCAGACCCAAAAACATAAAACCATCCAATCATGAGCAAAACTAGCAGCCACCCTTTGCATCAGTGCAACCAAAGCCAAATTAAATTAGAAGAGGCAAAATCAATCAACCAACAACACACACTATGCAATGCACCAATAAACAGTTCTCAAACTCCCAGAGGCTGCTCAAACTCCCTTGTCTACTCAAACTCCCCCCCTAATGCAAATCTAATCTGCAACAACACAATCCCTGAGGCATTAACAATAGCAGCACTTGACAGCATCAGCAGCGTCACCCACCAGCTATCCCAAATCCATAAATGAAAACAACTCAAACTTCATAGGTACCCTGAAATCTGATTCTAAATAGAAAGCAACTCAATCATTGGTGCCATCCTAGAACTCAATTTCAACTTTGCCGAAAATTTGATGAAGTCTAAAATTTAGGCTGATATAAAGCAATATAAAGCAAAGCAAACCCACTTTTCTCTCTAACTTTTAAAACCACAAAGCAAACCCAAATTTTTTAATCAGCGGAACAGAATCTTTATTGATGACAAAACATACATTTCATATGAGATTACATCAATAAAGAGGAAAGAAGAAATAGAGACAGGGAAAAAAAAAGTACAATGTTGGTGTGGAGGCAACACTAGCACAACAAAACAAAACAAAGGAACATTGTAGGTTGCCAAGCTGGCCTTATGTTAGGGATGGAGGGTTGAGTGACTGTGAATCCAAAATTAGGTAGTGGAGGTATGTGAGATTGAGGGTTGAGTGAAGAAAGTTCCTAAACTTTTCTAACCTCATCTATGCAGGTTTGTTTGGGCTGGAACTTTGTTATAGAAAGTTTTGGTGAGGTCTTAGTGACTGATTGGAGAAGCTGATTGACTGTTCTTGTTGTACACATTGCATAGGAAATTTTTGTCGTGGGTTGAGTGATGGGAGTACTATATTTTCAGAGTTTGTTGTATTTTGGCTTACTGCTATCTTTTCTTTTTTGTTTCTCTCATTCACCTGTCCTTCAATTCTGAGCTGGGAGAGTATGAGGGTTGAGCTTGTGAGACCATATATAGTGTGAGCCTTGTTGACAGGTCTGACATCACATTTGCTATGATTTGTTACACTTAACTGTTTTATCTGCAGGTCTATGAGCTGGTACCTTGTGTAAGGGAGATGTTTGTTGTGGGATCTACATTTTTGAAGTGTTTTCTCTTATCCCTTCTCTGCTCAGCTTATTGAGCTTGAGTGTCTTTGTGTGGTTTGAGTTTGTGAGGTTCGTTTAGTAAGTTCTGCTACAGGTCTAAGCATAGCTTCCTATAGGTTGTGTTTTTCCTCTATGTTGCTGCTCACAGGCAGTGCAGGGGTGCTCATTAAAGGTTTGATGGAGGTTGTTCTATATTGGTTAGACTTTGGAAGACTCCGAGAGGGCCAAGCTCCAAAGATGCGCCAGTCTTTGAAGTAGTTCTCAGATAGGATTGTTGGTGTTCTTTTTAATTCTGATATTGTACATAGTTGGCTTTTTGGTTATCTATTTTGAATGTTGTATTCAGTATAAGACTGTTTTCTTTATGGGCTAAATCTGGGATATATTGTTTTATCTTCTACTGTGTGCTACTGCAATGAGTTTGTTGCTAGGCTGCTGCTCTTCTACTCTGCTGAGCAAATGCTGCACTGCTATACTTTATTTGCTGATCTGCTATGCTGCCCACTGCACTGCTGTGCTGCTATAGGCTTTGCGGCTGTGCTTTGTGCTGCTGTGTAGCAGTTGTTAGTGCGGTCTAGGAGTTTTTTGCTATCCTGTAATCCCGAGATAGTTTAATCTATTCTTGTTCAGATTCCCTATTTTGTTATGTATATGGAGGTTGAATAGGTGTATGGTGTTGGTTGTTTTGGTTGGTTATGGCTACCTGTTAGCCTTTTATTTGTTTTTAGGTCTGTTTGCTCATTTCTTGCTCTGTATAGTTGTAAGCCCTGGGGCATGCCCCTTGTATTTTGTATCTTTCTTTTGTTTTATTTTATGACTTATTCACTCAACAAAAAAAAACAAAACAAAACAAAACAGAGGAACAAACACCCAATATTCTCTTATTCCGCTCCATTCACACACTCCAAAAGCAGACATAACAAGGCTACTTCCCAGATGCATTAGCTGACACGTATTCGGACACATGCTATTTAAACATATCAAGGAAGACATCACACACTAAACTCAGAATCACCCAATGGAGACTGGCAACAAACAATAGAAAACCCAAAACCAACTAATGAGTACCTAGCAATTGAACAGTATCGAGTTCTACATTAATATTACCAATATGGCAGCAACCAAGAAGCTAATAGGTTGAACACTAAAGCATATTTTAAAAATTGCAAGCAAGGATTTAACACTACCAGCAAGGATTTATGTATTACTACATTTTTTCAATTATTAGAATTGCAAATTGAAACATTATGGTAGTGTTTATATGCATGTGACTTTGTTATATTAAAAAATATCAGATTTGATATAACTATCACAACTAATGAGAGTATAACCAACTAATGAGAGTATATGTGTACTTATAACTATCACAGCAACTTACATAGTTTTCCAGATGTAATATGAGGACTAATCATAATGTAGTTAAGTCTTAGTTGGTTTCTAATCTAGTCACTAGTAGCAGGGGAGAAGAGTTTATTGTACTAGTATGGTGGCAGCAGATGGAAATTGAACATGTTTCTAGTTATGATCATTGGAAGCAACAGTTCAATTGTATTTTACACCTTTGCTGTATTTTTTTATCTATATTTATGTTATGTGCAGGAAATTGAACCATTTTAGTATTACCTTGCAGATAATTTTTTTAATATGTAGATGATGGATATTTGGTCCTTTTAATTCAAATTCCAAACTTGAAGTATTTGCATTCTGCAATTTTACTTGGTATTTTATATGGCAAATACTACAAATTCTGATAGTCTCATAAACACTCACAAGGTTAGGCCTAAACTAAATATGCAAATTGTTTTCTTTCTGAAGATCCATTGAGAAGTGTCATGCACAAAAAAATCAAGGTTAGGAAAATGGTTGCTAACTGTACAATGCAAATCTTTGTTTCTGTGGCATTTAACCAAACACCATATGCTCGATTTTATCACCACCCAGAACAAGTTCTTTAAACATATTAGCATGCTTTTTCTCTATACTAGTCATCTTCAATCTCCAAAGATTAACCAACTTATCTATATTGATTTAAGCAACAGAATGTGTGTATATATCCCAATAATAGCATACGATTTAGAGGCTCCAACAGGTTTTGGCTCTATGAAACCTACAAGGAAAGATATGGTGATCATTGTTTTTCAGTCAATTTATTGAATGAAGAATTATTTAGTAGTTAATCATACCATAGACTTAATTTTTGTCCCATCATTGTGGAGGACGGACAAGGATGCCCCCCTTAAACTAAAATATCAGTATGCTATCCTCCGATCTCACTCATCATTTTGAAAGCATGTTTGCTATATTTTATTCTAGGTTAAAAGTTAATAACTTATTTAAAAAAAATAATTTTTAAAACTTATAATTATCACATAAACTGTACAAAATCCTAAAATAGAAATCATCATAAATGGCTCATTTAAATTAACAGCACACAACACCATAATAAAAGTAGAGACAACATCCCTATATCTCAGAAAGTTTTCAATCCATTTCCCACTTAATACATCATTCCAGTGGCCCCAAAGAAGAAAAAAAAAACTAGCAGCCATCTTTTGTGTGTTTTATGGTTGGTGCACATGAGATGATAATCAGAAAGGTAAAAGTGGAAAAAATTGATAATAATACTAAAATTTAAACAGTGGACCATGTACTAACATCTAATATAATCACATTGGACAACCAAAACGACAGGATTGCTTCCATTGACAATGCACAAAGCAAAAAACAAAAAAAGAAAGAAAAAGGTAAATAATCCCACTATTATGCATCATGTATAACAGATGTTTTTCATAACTCAAAAGTTTGACATTCACACTATATCTTGTATGACTCAAGGACCCTAAAAACCAAAAATAAAAAAACCTCACAAAACAATTGAGTTTCTATGAACCCAAAAGCCAACACACTACGTAGCAGCACTAAAAACACTAATGGTGGTTAGAAACATAGGTTGAGATTGGGGGGGAAAAAATGTAAGAAAGTAATGACCAACGCTTATGCTCCCACTCCTACAATAGCATCTTCTTCTTTTTTCAATTGAAGCAGGCCATGGTTGGGCAACAATGGCAGTACAGTGAGGAGAAATACGGGCAATTTTGTAAGACAAATGATGAGAATGTGTCAAATCTACACTTTGGTAATTTCGGTTTTAAAAAAAAAACAAAACAAAAATTTTAATCACAGATTTTCTGCTAATTTATGATTAAAAATAAATTCCTTAAGGGCTGAGTTTTTCTAGTCTCATGGTGTAGGAGAGGGTTCAAGAAAGGAGTTGGAAAATTCGAAGATCTTCGAAGATCCTTGAAGAACAATTTCGAATTCTCTAGAATATGATGAGAGGCTTAGATTCTTCAATAATCTCAACTTAGGAACACGACAACAAAGGAGATGATGGAGATAAGAGATTGGGTGAAGAAGAAGGCAAAATGGCTAGAGAATAGAATAATGGCAAGGCTCTCCCATTGATCTCCCACTTTCACTCTCAAGGTTGATAATGCACAAAATTCAGGGCTCTCACGGTCCTTTTTTGATGGCATTTCTTCAACATAAGGCAATTTTAGCTCTCCGTCAGCCACCCATTCCTTAACTAGAGCTTTCACTTCCTCGATTCCACATGGATAAGAAACATTCCCCTTTTCACCATTATATTGCTTCCTCTTCTGGCCTCTATGACCTCCTCCTTGTGAATTTCGGGTATCCGGGGCAGAGGCAGCAGCAACAATAGGTCCACGAGACGATTTGAAACTAGTCTTGTAACTGGCTTTAAATCCGGACTCCTGACCATAGATGAGTCCAACTATGGGTAGTAATGCTTGATAAACTTTGCATTGAGCGGGCCAGTTCGGAAGCCGTCTTCAACCCTTACAAGTTTGTAGTACCCGCTTGAGCTTGCCTGAACCACCTTGTAGGGCCCTTCCCATTTTGGAGAAAACTTGGGCAAAGGCTGTCCTCGCATGATTTGTCTGCAAGACTTGTGAAGATTCGCACCTCTTGTATAGCAGTTATAAATGATGATGATGATGAGGCTGAGTCCTCCGACTGGATCCGAATCCTTTCGAGTCCGTGTGCCTCGGATCTCTAGGCTTGCTTAATCCCCTTTCGAGTCCGGGCCCGAGTAAGTCTCTAGGTTCGTGGATCCGAACCCTTTCGAGGCTTACAGCGATTCAATCCGTTTGATGGCGATAAATCTGGGCCCATCGATTCTTGGACTTGCGATAAATTCGGGCCCACTAATCTTGGGCTATTGGGCCTAAATAATTTAGTGGGCTCAAATTAGCCCCTCTTACATTTGCCCCTTGCGTGTATGAGAAATTGTAAATTTCTCAGACATGCATACTGTCATTTCTTCGACCCTGTTTCGTATCACGTTCCCCAAAAAAAAAAAAAAAACATTTTGTCACGACAGAGCCTATTGATAAAGTTGATGACGCACTTCAATTTAAAAAAAAAATTGACAAGCAAAAATTTTATTTTTTTGTACTCTTTTTTTTTTTTTTTTTTGGAAATAGGTTGGCTTCTTATATATATGCATATATACATTCAGAATAATCTGCTTGGAAATAAGAATTCCATATATCACACCTTTTTTTATTCTATTTAAAGAGATGGCTCAAAACCCTAAATCTCACAAACTTTTCTTTTGCTCAGCCGCCACAAGCACAGACCCAACTCGTCTTCTTCAACAGGCACAGACCCAGCTCCTTTCTTCCTCTCCAAGAAGGCTTCATCTGTTCATCGTCATTTTGCACACCATCGGCGGCTACACCCTCGGCTATCATTGGTGTCGTGACAACGTCGTCAAGCCAACACCAGCCTCTTCTGTGGCCCTACTGCCGTTGCCTTCCTCAATTGACCAGCACCGACGCCGACGCCGACGCCGACGCCGCTGCTTGCTCCAGTGCCAACCACACACGTCGCCCTTTCAACGCGTCGTGTGTGGTCACCAACTCCGCTGCGACATCACTGCTGGTTCCGGCCTCGCTCGTC